TCGCCAGCTGACTACGGTCCTCCTGACTTACGTCGCCCGCCGACTACAATCCTTCCAACAAAGCGAATACGTCAACAGTGACTATTCGTATTCCCAACATGTAATGTACTTCATATAATGTACATCAAACACATGCCGTCCTCAAAGGAAGGCCCTCATTTGTAATCGACTACAATACCAGTGGATTCATTCAACCTAGGCTAGGCCCCGTGGTTTTTCCCCCCTTTTCAGGGGTTTTCCACGTAAATCTTGGTGTCTCATAAATGCTAGACCCTCTCTTCTTATCTGATTGCGTGCCAGATTTTCGTACAACGCTAAGACGATAAACTTTATATTTCTCTACCGCCGCGAATACTCCTGGACGCAACAATTCTGAATTTTTTCATTAATAAAAATAGTTCATCAATTTAATTTCTGAAATTAATAAATTTTTTGCAAATGATTTTCAAATTTAACGTTCAGCAATTCAAAAGTTGATCCTTGAAAGTCAAGAGATTACTTTTGGCATGAAAAAGTAATCCAATTCAAAGATGCTGCCTGCAAAGTGCAAACTTATTCCAATCAGTAATAAATCAACACATTGGAAAATAACATTTAAAGATATTCTAATTTTGAGTATTTTTAATAAATAATTATATTTTTCGCAAAAAATATTGTTTGATTAAAATATAATTAATTTTTTAATCAGAGAAAAAATAACTATAGTTCTTAAAAATATAACATAGGCATAGAGTAAGAAAATGCCGAATTACATTAATTTTAGGCTTCATCTAGGAAAGCTTTCTAACTCTTTTGCCTATCAGATAGTAGTTATAATTTTTATTTAAACGTTATTTTTTCATTGTTTTTTTTATTTAAATTATACTTAAAAGCTTCTTTTATAATAGTGTTAAACATTACTTTCTGGATAATAAAAGCAATAAAAAATTGTCTAAAATGAAAGGCGAATCATGTGCAGCCACGTCAGTTATACCGAGCCGCGGTACCAAGCGAAGGGGTGACGTGACGTTTCTGATTGGTATCTAGACAGCATTCGGCCGTGTGCACATAATAATTTTTCCTAAATAAAAAGAAGACTTAGCCATGATTAAAAATAAATACTTGATTATATTTTTCAAAAAATTATTCCTCTAAATGCAAAATTCTCAATAATAATAAAAAAAGAAATACATTAATAATATCAAAAGTTGAGCTTTTCTTTCAACTTTCTATAGTCAGATAAAGCATCTCAATCATTACTTGGGGGAGGCCAAAACCGCCCTCAAACTTTACACCAACTTTTGCCAAACATTTGAACGATAAAGCAAACCCTTTCTTCTCCTCCCTCGCTTTGCTTCTTAAGCTATTCCTTTGCTCTCTTCCTTCTTCATCACTTCAACTGAAAGCCAAATCCTTCTCATCTCTTAGTCATGGCTGAAGGATCATCAAATCTTATGCCTATTGTTAGTAAGATCTTCTGTTCTCCTTCCCTCTCAACATTGGTGGTTCGTAGAAGGCCTCATGTAATCAATGGAGGTGGATTTGTAGTCTCTGATTGCAACCAGAAGGTAGCTTTTAGTGTTGATGGCTGTGGAATTCTGGGAACTAAGGGAGAACTTGTTGTGAGAGACAGTGATGGATCCTTAATACTTCTAATTCATAAGAAGGTATAATAACTATTTCATGGTTTCTTCCAAGATAGATTTTCCTTCATCATACATTGCTCTTATGGTACAGTTGCTCCAGTGGCAGATAAGATTAGATAGAGCCGTCTTAAATGATTTGATCACATAAAAAGACTTTTTATTATTAGATCCAAAGGAGAATTTGACTCTTAATAAGGATTCATTATTCTGTGTGGACGCCGAACGCGTGCGGAGATCAACCAAAATGTGTCACGTCACCTTTTGTTTGGTACCATGGCTCGGTACCGCGGACATGGCGCGTTCTGGTTGGTCTCCGAAGGACTTTCTGGGTCTGATTTCAGCACATAATAATTCATGTAGCGAACTGTACGTAGTGGAATAAAGACTTGTTGTTGTTATATATGGATTGCTCTTCTTTAAGGATTTGAAGGAGGCTAAATTTTAATTAATTAATTATGAACATAGGGGGGCATCATTCAAGCAATTAGCACCTGCTCTCAATGGAATGGATATACAATGAATTATGAGGGGGCTAAAGACAAAGTTTTTAGTCTGAGTGACTCAAAGCCATTATTTGCACTGAGAAGGTCTACAAAGATTTACATTGAACCTAAGAGGATGAACAAAGACTACTACTTTGAGGTCATTGGCTCCTTTCCTCAGAGAAATTGCTCCATTGTAACTTCCAAGGGAATTGTTGCTGCTCAGGTAAAAATTTTATTTTATGGTTTATTTATATTTAAATATATTTTCCTTTTTTTAATCTCAGAGTATTGGACAAATTAAATAGTAGTAATCTAGGGGTGTCAATAAACAATCCAACTTGAAAAATTAGGGCTCGGGTTGATCGAATTATCATTCTGGTCACATTGGGTCTAAAATCTTGACACAATTATTATTTTAGTGTTGTTCGAGTTGACAAACAATCCAAATTTGGCTCAAAACTGACTTTATTATCATTCAAGTTCAATTTAAGTAGGTCGGATTCGAGTTAAACTGATCATTTTTTGTGTTAAGTTGTATGAGTTAAATTAGTCATGATAATATAAAAAATTTGCACAAATTTATATTAAAAACAAGTTGGATTCGAGTCAAGTCAAGGTTACAATAAACATTTGACCTTTATAATCAATATTTCGATTTTAGGTCAAGCATTATAGTTCGGGTCAATTTTGGATTAGACTCAAGCCCAACTCTCTAACCCGAATTAACATCCCTAATATTACACTCATATTCAACAAAAAAAAAACTAACTATAAAATTATATATAGGTGCAGCATTCATAAGAGACACCAGAGTTTTTACGTGAAAACCCCTAAAAAGGGGGAAAAACCACGGGGTCTGGCCCAATTTGAATGAATTCATTAGTGTTTGCAGTTTATTACAAATGAGGCCCTTCCTTATGAGGAAGGCCTTGGATCGAAGTAGCAAATATACATCATATAGAGTGTATTGCATAGTAGGAGTTGGAAGAATCAGTGTTGATACGTTTGTGTCGGCGGCAAGACCATAGTCGGCGAGCGAAGTAGATTAGAAGAAACATATTCGGCAAGTGACGAGGGTTGGAAGAATCATAGTCGGCGAGCGACATATGTCAGAAGGACCGTTGTATGGCGACAAACGTCGGGAGAATCATAGTCGGCGGGCGACGAAGGTCGCAAGGACCATAGTCGACGGGCGACGAAAGTCGAGAGGACCGTAGTCGGCGAGGACCGTAGTCGGCGAGGAATGTAGTCAGCGGGCGACGCGGGTCGAGAGGACCGTAGTCGGCGGGCTTACGAAGGTCCTTCATGAAGGTCGGAAGGACCGTAGTTGGCGGGGAATGTAGTTGGCAGGTGACGCGGGTCGCAAGGACCGTTGTCGGCAGATGACAGAGGTCCGAAAGATTGTAGTCAGCATGAGACGGAGGTCAGGATGACCGTAGTCGGGTGACAGTTATTGGGAGGATTGGCTGAAGTCCCGCGATCGTTGACGGATGGGCAAAATTTCGACGGCGGTCAGCGGACGGGAGGAAGTTCGGAGGCGGTCGGCTGACTGGATGAAGTCTAACGGTGGTTAGAGGGCTGGCAGAAGTCCAGTGGTGGTCGACAAACTTGAGGAAGTTCGGCGGCGGTAGTCAAACTGGTGGAAGTCCGGCAATGGTCGACGAACTGGCAGAAGTCCAACAACGGTTGGGAAGAACTCTGACGCTGCTCGGGAGGAACTCCGCTGGTGGTCGGGATGAACTCCGGCGGTAGTCGGGTGGAACCTCGGCGGTGGTCAGGAGGACCCGGCGGTGGTCTGCAAGAATTCCGGCGGTGGTCGGGTGGAACTCCGGCGGAAGTCTGGCGGTGGTCGGCGATAAGAGAGCTCCCAAACTCCTCCCTTCCTTTCCTTCTTCTTCCCCCTCCTCTTGTGAAGAATGAGGGTCTATTTATAGTTTTTTATGAGTGTCATGACTTGTAAATATGTGGAGGATCAAGATCAAGATAAAGTGGTTTGAATGGACGGTTGATATCGATCCCTTGATCATGGACCATTCATTGGTCACTTGAATGCCTTAAGGATTTCGGAATTCAGTGATCTTGGGCTCGTTGGATTCGTCGCGTCGAGACGCTCGATTTGACTATAAGCATGCCCTATTTTGAAACCGTTTGGTAATCCAAATTGTTGTTTGAATTCTTCAACAACGCTTCAGACCCTTGATTTGGACCCATTCGGGCTCGAATTGAGTCAAATTTGGTGTCATTGGGCTCGTCTTCTCGAGACGTTCAGTTCGATTATAATTTTGTTGAAATTGGAGTTTGGATGGTCTCAATTTTAATTTCTGAAGTTCCCGACTTGATTTTGTCTCGAGATTCGTGTCCGATCAAGATAATTTTTGGTGACATATCAATATAATCACTATTCATAAAATATGCCAAAAAATACAACATTTAGTTACAATTTTAAACATAATCTGATTTTCGTTGACACAAATCTCTCACAATTAAGGCTTCATTTCGGACAAATATTTCATTACTTTTTAAAACATCTTTTTAGTACAAAAAATTCTAATTTAAGAAAATTTTTAACTAAAATACTGTTTTAGAAAGCATTAATAAAGTTGTCCCAAATGAACCCTAAATAGAGAATCCGATCAATAAAATTTTAGTTATATTATCCAAGTTCCAAATAAAATATGTTTAGTATCTCCACTAAGCAATGCTTAAGGAAAGAAATTTTATCAAAAATTTTCATTAAATTTTCAGTTAATATAAAATTTAAACTCATTAAATAAATTATAATCAAATTTTTATTAAATTATTTTGATCTAAATTTTTTAATTAATAAGAGAATTTTTTGCCACATGAATGCAAATTAAAGTAGAAAGACATTTTAATTATTATTATTATTTTTTTTTTAAATGTGATTAGGTGGGATTCAAGGAGATGAATGGAAGCAAGGATTTATATTCTCTTGTGGTGCAGCCTGGCTTTGATCAAGCATTTGTTGTTGGAGTAATTGCAATCTTAGACTACTTAAATGGAGAATCAACAAGTTGCTGACTTTAAGATTAGGAAATTAATATATTTTTCCTAATTCTGTTTTTTCTTATTTTTATTATTGGTGAAATCTATGTATTTAATATTTGTTATATATTTGAATTTCTATCTTGAATTTTAGAATTAGATATGCTTTTTTTCTAGAATTAAAATTGTGTATGTAATCATATAATTAATTGTTATCTTGTTTATCATAGCTTACATTTTTTGAGAAAAATACTAAAAATAGGGGAATTATGTATAAATAATAAATTTTTTACATACATATTCAATGCTTAAATTAATCTATTTATTTATATGATGTTTAAATATTTTAAATTACATAAAAATATCACTAATATTAACTCTTTTTTTTACTAGTTCTCTTGTTAAGGTAATATATCAGAATTTTTAGTACAAAGTTGACACATATAGTGATCAAGATGATAGAGTTCTATATATAAAACACTTTACAATCATTCTCATTTGTTTAGTAAGGTATTAAATTACAATTAAGCATGCAAAGGAAGAAGCTGGGCTTGATCTCTACATTACAACAATACTTACATACCCAAACCTTTAGACTTCCTTAGCAACTCTTCTCTAAATTTTCATATAGTACAAAAAAGAATAGCAGCACAAAAATATTCAATGAGCAGCTCTTGAAGCCACATCATCAGACTAAGGCTTCGTTTGAGACGGCTTTCTTACCGCTTCTTAAAGCAGCTTTTTTAGTGCATTTTGAATCAACTTTGCCGTTTGGCTACTCTTATTATCGTACAATACAAATCCGAGCATTTGGATCAATAACATTGTGGAAAAACTTAGTCTTGTATCTATGTCCAAAATGGTGTCTTCTAACATCCTCCTTTGCTCCTATCTTCTCTTTTTCCGTATTCACTTCATCTTCCTCATTGACAATCTCCACTGTATACACAAAGGCGCCCATAGGGATGTCCTGCTTGAGCTCCAAAAGGGGCTCTAATGTCTCCACAACTGTCTTCATATCAGGCCTCAATTTTGGGTTTTGGTTCAAGCATTTATATGCCAACTCTGCTGCCTTTTGGGCTCCTTCTGCCGAATATTGGCCCTCCAGGCTTGGATCCATTATTCGATAAAGCTTTTGAGGATTAGTTAAGCAACGCTTTGCCCATTCAATAAGGTTTTGCTCCCTGCTTGGTCTCTTTTTATCCATGGATTTCCGACCTGTTAGCAGCTCCAATAATACAACACCAAAGCTATAAACATCACTCTTTGATGTCAGATGGCCTGCAGTTTATCAAATATTATTTCATTAAGTAAAAATGTTTATACAGTCATATGTATTATATATTATCAGTTAATGAATACTGTTTTACCTGTCATGATATACTCTGGTGCAGCATAGCCATGAGTGCCCAGGACCTGAGTTGTAACGTGTGTGTCATCGCCTTGAGGTCCACCCTTCGCGAGGCCAAAATCAGAGAGCTTTGCATTATAGTCCTGATACATCAGAATTCCTCATTTAAGTGCATCAAATCAAGAAGACAGATTTGAACCAAATACAAAGGATTCTTTTTGGGACGGCTTTCTTACTGCTTCTTAAAGCAACTTTTTAGTACAAAAAAAATTTATTTTTTAAAACAGAATACATGGGCTGTAATTGAAGTAGTAATAGACCTATTGAGGGGATTGTGACTTTGGACGATCAAATCATTAATAAGAGTACACGTTTTAGATATATTGTATCTATTGTTCAGAGTGATGGTGAAATAGATGGGATATTATCAATAGAATTCAAGTTGGATGGTTGAAATTGAGGAATATATCGGGCTTGTTGTGTGATAGAACAGTACCCCTCAAACTTAAGCGAAAATTCTATAAGATGGTAGTGAGGCCTGCAATGCTTTATGATACTGAATGTTGACCATGAAAAGAGAAGCATAATACTAAGTTAAGTGTGACAGAGATGAGGATGCTCAGGTGGATGAGTGGCTTTATCCTTAGAGATAAGATACGAAATGAGCATATACGTGAAAAGGTTGGAGTAGCTCCAGTAGAAGATAAGATTAGAGAGAGCAACCTTAGATGGTTTGGTCACATAAAACGGCGGCCTTCCAATGACCCGGTTAGGAGAGTAGATGTATTAGATTTGACTTATGTTAAGAAATGTAGAGGCATACCTAAAAAGACTTGGTTAGAAAATACTAGGAATGAGCTTTCTTTATAGATTTAAATGAGAATTTGACTTTTAATAGGACACAATGGAGAAAAAGGATTCATGTAGCCAACCCCACGTAGTGGAATAAAGGCTTGATGTTGTTGTACTAAAAAGTTGCTTTAAGATGCAATAAGAAAACCGTCCCAAACGAGAGGTGGTACTTTTTTGTAAAAATAGATGTAGAATTATTGTTGAATGTTGAACAAATGTTTGTTTTTTAAAAGCTATTGCGATTAATTTTGTTGAAGTCAGATAACAACTTTCTTATAATTACCACTGTTTAACAGCTAAATATAAATCAAGAAAGAAGCTGTCTAGAATGCTAAGCTCCCAAAAAAAATTGCCTCAAATAAAATAAATTATTTTGTGCAGATTACGGACCGTTCGGAGGCGAATTACAACGCACTATGTCACCCGGTACACAGTAGTACCGAGTACTGGTACTCAACAAATGGGTGATGTGGCGCGCTATGATTCAGACTCTGGACGATGTCCGGATTCCACACAGAATAATTAATCATCAAGCATACAGCTTTCTCATTGATTTGCTTTCTAGATCTATGTCACACTTCCATTTGACTACTACTTTCTTTCTTTCTTTCATTCTTTTTCAAAAACTTTTTTGATGGAAAGATGTTACAACAAGAAAGAAGCAGCCAAATAAAATTATCTTCTCTCTAAGAAAATAAGACAGCAAGAAGAGAAAGCTATCCCAAGCAGACTCTTAAGTCTTAAAGTCAAGAAATAGAAATTTATAATTACCGAGTCTAATAATATATTAGATCCTTTGAAGTCTCTGTAGATCACAGGGTTCTCAGCTTCATGAAGGAAAGAGAGACCCTTTGCTGCTCCAACTGCAATCTTTAGCCTCGTCAACCATGGCAGCGAATCCATAACCCCTGTAATTAAGCATAAATAGCAAGAGTTTAAGCTCACTAAATTGCCTTTAACCAAGTAGATTTAATAATATTTTTTTGTTATTTTTTAAATAACTTTTAAAAGAAGAAATATTCTATAATGCTCAAACTAATTTTCAAAAAATAAATTTTTGAAAAAAATTATCAATAAGTATAACTCTTTTTTCTCAATAAAACTTTAAAAATAAAAAAATTATAATTAAAAAAAAGAAACCAATCTATGAAATAAAAATATATAAAAAAAATATATCTGCTGCCTTAAATAAAATAAAAAAAGATGGCTGGAGTAGTTGTGCAAGTTGCAAGAGAAAAAGATGGCTGGAGTAGTTGTGCAAGTTGCAAGAGAAAGATGGCCCGTTTGTGAACCAGTCTTTGCCTACTTACCGTGTGATTGAAATTTGAAGCTTCTATTTTCTCTAAGTTTGGTCAGTTGACACAATCATATATAGACTTTTCAATTAAATTTTAAACGAAATCAAAGATCAAAATTATCCTCTAATTATTTATAAATAATCAAAATTATCTCTAATTATTTAAAAGTTTAATCCATTGACTTTTTAAAGCTTCATTTGGGACGATTTTTTTATTGCTTCTTAAAATAGAATTTCAGTAAAATATTAAAATTTTTGTATTGAAATTTTGTTTTAGTAAGCAATAAAAAAGTCGTGGCTTCGTTTGGGACGACTTTTTTATTATTTCTTAAAACAGTTTTCTACTATAAATTTTTTTAATTTTAGTACAAAAAAAAATTGTTGTTAAAAGCAGCGAGAAAGCCGTCCCAAACTAAGCCTAAATTGAGACCTAAATGATCCCGCAAATGACTAAGGCTTTGTTTGGGACGACTTTTTTACTGCTTCCTAAAGCAGCTTTTTAGTATAAAAATTTTAATTTTTAAACTAGAAAACTGTTTCAAGAAGCAATAAAAAAACTATCTCAAACGAAACCTAATTGAATTCACATTTAAAAAAACGAGCACCAAATTATTTAACTCGTATATTTGTACATGATACAACCAATTATTAAAAATTTAATTATATATATATATATAATATTTCAGCGTAAATTTGAATAATTAATCAAATTTGTAAAAAAAAAATCAAAATAAAATATAAAAAATAAGAAAAATAATTACTTACTCTTAAATAAATGGTTCTCCAAACTCCCCTTTGACATGTACTCATACACAAGCAGCCGGTTCTCAGTCTCACAGCAATATCCGATCAACTTCACCAAATTCGGATGACTCAATTGCCCAAGAAATATAATCTCAGCCTAATCATTAAAACAAAAGTAATTAATTAAATATTAATCACCATATAACCCAATCTTAATTACTAATTAATCTACCACTCACCAGCCATTCCTTGTGCCCCTGAGAACCTTCAGGATCAAGCTGCTTTACGGCCACGGTCTGCGGCGTCAACCCCGGCCGGAGCTTATCGTCGACAAAACCTTTGTAAACCGGACCGAACCCGCCCGAGCCGATGAAGTTACTCATACAGAAGCCTCTGGTTACGGCTTTGAGCTCTTCCATGGTGAAAGCATGAAGGTCGGAGCCTGGTAAGGAAAGGGAGATACCTTCGGTTTTGTCGAAATCTAAGTTGGGGATCGCCGGCGGCGACATTCCTGCGGCGGATATCCGCCGGCGGGAATGTTTCTTCTTCGTCGGTTTGCTGCTTCCGCCGCCGTAGCAGGCAGCGAAGAGGGATTTTAAAGAGAGATTTGGCATATTCGGATGGGGAAATTACTGAAGATTTGGTTGTGGTAATTAAGAGGATAAGTCTTGGTTTTATAGAGAGAAAGAGAGGGAGGACGTTGGCGCGTTGGCGCGTTTGCGAGTGTAGATTGACGGAGAAATTAGAACTGAAGAAAAGAAAAGGAAACAGTGGGTGTAAGGGCGTCCCAACCTAAAATCTCATTTTTTGCTTCAAAATATCGTGAAACTAAAAAATGTCTTAATTCATCTTCAATCAAACTCCATTTTGCCCCGTAACGATCATTCTTTTCTCTCGTACTTTTCATCAGCAAGTTTAGTAAAGACGAAAAAATGACGAAGATGAACAGTGCTTGGCGTTGCACTGTTCATCCGCGATCAAATTGCGTAAGAATTACCGCTCGGTTGGAACAATGGAAGAACGAAAAACAATTGTTTATCGTTCTATTGGAGATGCTCTAACTGCCCTTTTCGTGAAATTGGGGATTTTTTGGGCTTAGAATGTTCTTTAAGCTTCTCAGTTAAGTGTTTGATTTGGATAGGAATTTTCTTGCGTTAAAGTTGAAAAATAAAACCCTAGAAGCAGCCCTCTTAGGACTTATGAACTGGGAAAACATATGATTATTATTTTTATTTTATTTTTTGGAAAAATTTGGAGATGTGAGATTTTTTACTTAAAAATTTTAGGAAAGACAAAATTATGAGGTTTAACTCAGTTGAAGTGATTCACATTTATGTAAGATATATATAATATGTTATAAATTATGTGCTTTCTTATAAATAAAGAAAACATTGATATAATATAGTAGATATGATTGTGGAAGATGAATTTCATGGTGGAAATAGAAAAAGCATTGAGGTGTTAGAATTTTCATTAATAGAGCATCAGTAGTAAACACAACCGTTCTCATTAAAAGAGAGGAGACCATCATCATCCAAGAAGATAGGCATCAGCTCTGGTAGAGAGCTTGCCAACGTTAGTGTTGATGTCTACGACAGACTTGAGATTTGTTTGTTGCAATTGGTGCTCGTGTTGGTGTTGATGGTGAAAGTTAGGTTTGATAACAATAGCGTGCATCAAGGTTAATCTCAATAGCATATTTAACTTTTGTTGGTGGCCATGGTTGCTCGTGTTGGTGTTAAATGTGGGAGTTGATTTGGTAACGACAATTTGGAGTTGATAAAGGATGTTTTGCCATATTGGCAACAACGATCATTGGTGTTGGTGTTGATAATGGGTTTATGATATTGGTGATCATGAGCGACAATTTTTGTGTTGATGGCTTACCATGTGAAGATGGCAAGCATAGTTCATAATGACATGTATCAAAGTTATTGGTGATGACAAGCTTTTAGTAGCTAAGGTGGATCTCGATCTTAGTGGCAATGGTGGGATTCAGTATTGATGACAATAGCAGGCATCGAGTGTTGGCAGGTAGGGCTCTAGATTTTGTTATTTGGAATTATTCGTCTTATGTCATCTCAGCTCTCAGAATGAATGAAGGCATGATCTATTTATAGAATTTTTTGTTAAAATTTTTTGAGTTTTTTGCCAAAATATCAAGTGTCGACAAATGGCCCAAAATGTTCTCATTAAATATTTAATATTTTTCAAATATTTAAGTATCCTAATGACATCATAATGTGATTATTTTGAGCTTGTTAGATTTGTTTTATCAATATGCATGTTTTCACTATGATTTTGCTAAAAACTAAGTTGAATGATTTTAATGTTGATTTCAAAAGTTTTTTTTTAATATATAAACACTTTGCAATTTGAGAATAATGTTAATATCCATACTTGAAGGGACAAAATTATTTGTGGTGTATAAGTTTTAGTAAAGTATAAGAAAATAAATGTTATTATGTATATAATTTTCATAGCAATTTATAACAAAAATCATTGGAAAAAAACCGGTCTAATTTTTTTATGCTTTAATTTGTTTAAATTAAAACATAATCAAGTCACTAATTAATTACTAATTGGTAACTAGTTAGGCCATCTTTACCACTATTAGAAGGGGCTTTTTATTCCACTTATTCCACAACAACAACAATAAATTTAAAATTTTAATATATAGGGTCGACTACATGAATCATTTTTCTCCATTGTGTCCTATTAAGGAGATTGAGATGGTTGGACGCCTTAAGGTTTCATGCCACAGTATAGGATTCGTTTGGGACAGCTTTTTAACTGCTTAAATTAACTTTTCAGTATTAAAAAGCTGTTTTAAGAAGCAGTAAGATAGCCGATCCAATCGAAGCCAGGAGAAAGTAGAGCATTTACCCCACAATTCATATCTCTAGTATGCTTTGTAATACACACAAATTTGCATTTGAAATTTGAGGGGAGTAATGATCACTTGCTGGCAGCAAAGGAGTATTTCTGTCTTTGTTGAGGAGAGGTATTCAGTGAAAACTTGAAAAAAAAAAAAAACAGAGTAATTCTTCTGTCTATTTGATGCTTCCCTATTTCCTCTAAAGAAAGATTACATATTTCTCTCAGGCCATATATAATCTGTAGCTAAAATAGGATGAAGCCTGGTTCAGCATTTAGCAGAAATCAATGGTAAAGAGAAATTGACAGAGCCAGCCCAAATTTTTGGGGCAATGGCTGATTTTGATCTTGGTGTTTTTACTGTGAGGTGGCGGTTGTGGTGATTATGTGCAGTGCTATTTTCTTCTATCTGTTTTTCCTTCAGCTCTAGCTGCCAATTAAGAGTGACAGAGAACCCAAATCTTTGGCCAAGTTGAATTGTGATGGTAGACAAAATTAAAATTTTTTTTGGGACAGTTTTCTCATTATTTTCTATGGCATTTTTCTCAATATAAAATTTCTCAAAAACAACAAAAAAGCAATTTGTTCCCTTCATTTTAAACAATTTACTTATTGCTTTCTAAAACAGCTTTTTAATACAAAAAATTAGTTAAAAATTTACGTTAAAAAATAATAAAAAAATCGTACCGAGCTTAAAAATCGTACCAAACGAAGCTCGGGTCAACTCTTTGGTTTTACACTATGGCATGTGATATAAATATAATGCAAAAAAATTGCTGCAAAAGCAAAATCATGTGATAATGATATTACTAGTGATATAAAAATATAAACCCTTATAATATGTGGAGCAAATTAAATTTATTATTATTATTATAACATTTTTTTTAAATAGATGCTATATCCAATTTACAAAAAAGATATTTATAATTTTGCTTGTGCTCACTCATTGTAGGGTGTTATTTTTATTTTAATATAAATTAAAAAGGTTCATTGATTATTTATTAAATTATTATTTTATCATGCAAAGAAAAATTGAAAATAAGATGCAATTTAGGCCCCTATTAGTTATTAGAACATTTATATGTAAGTTCATTTCTCTCTATAAATTTTAAATGTTTAAAATTGCAATAAAAAGAATTTCCAAGTACTTTTCTATTATTAACATTTTTTAACTATTTTGAATTTTAATAATTAAAAAATCATAAATAACATGCCAATATTAATACTTTTAAATTCATGAAAAAAGAAAAAAACATTGCACAAAAAACAATTTCATAATTCAAACATTATTTTACAAGGGCTAATTAAAACTTGAAATATAATAAAAAAAAAGTCGCAAAGAGCTCTTCAATGATTCTCATTACAAGAGAAATTACAAAGCCACATTTCACACAGTTAAAAAAAACATGTAAATTTTGTAGCCTACAAGAAAACCTCCTTCGCAGACGCGGAGGTCATGCCGTCCGTCCGATCACTGACGTACGGCCTCGATGATCATCTACGCTTCACCTCGTTCACGCGGTGCTCGCGCTCCCTCAATACCCTAGGTGCTCGGGCGGCTTCTTCCTCCTCCGACTCCCGCCGCGAAGACGACGATCTCCGCTTGAAGTGCCGCTCCTCATCGCTCGACTCATAGTCGTATCCCCCTGCTCCGCCGCCGCCGCCGCCGCTCCTTCGGCTGGTCGATGAACTAATGTACACATTAACGAGCGGCCGCTCCCTTTCCCGCTCGCTGTGATCCTTCAAGCCGTTGGGCGGATCCGACGAGGTCTTCCTCCGCTTGCCGGTTGCCCGATCCGGATCGCCGGACTCCGCCGGAAAACTGATGCGAGAGAACACACTTCCCTTCTGCTTCCTTTCCGCCTTAGACGCGGCCGCGGCATCCCCGGCCGACTGCTCCCGGTCGGATGATTTTCGCTTCACGGGCGGTCGGGGAGGCTGAGGAGAAAGCCGAACCGCGTCGCGGGACGGACCGGCACTCCGGTCCACGTTTGGCTGCTTCTCTTTAACAGTTTCTAACACCTCTGACCTCAATCTCTGCAAACCAAAGTTTTAATAATTTATTAATTTATTTACGAGGCCGCAGCCTAACATTTTGTAATTACATTTTACATTTTATTTTTAAAAATTTATTTGCACAATCTGATTTCTAAATCCAGCCAGCCAGCCACCCGATCCAGATCAGATGGCTGTAATTGAAGGATTGTGTAGCCTGGCGATGCCCATGCCAGATGTATAATTTTAAATCTTATCTTCTTATCCGCATTATTAGACTTTTTTTTTGGCCACTTTCACATATTTTTATGCTAAAAAATTATCTTAAAAAGCAATAAAAAAATTTGTTCCAATCAAAGCCTAAGACTTCAATTTGAAATATTTTTTTTACTACTTAAAACATTTTTCTTTTTCCAAAGAAATTTTATAATAAAATTGTGATTTAAAAAATAATTAAAAATCCCAAACTAAGCCTATATCACATGCTTTTTGTTGGGCTTAATAATAATTTGACCCTCAATTTTTTTCCAAAAAACAATTGCCATTTTACATAATTGACCTTAAATTATATTTTTTTAGACATTCAATTGAAATTGTGACCCAACAAAATTTTTGTATCAAAATATCCACTATAAATTTTGATTAAATGAATTTCAAAATTATAAATTTATTTTTAAGATGAATATAAACACTAATTAAAATTAATAATACCACCCATCTTAAAATAAATTTAATAATTTTAAAACCCATTCTAATGAGGATATAATGAGCCATTCTTTCCAAAACAATTTAAATAAAAAATAAAAAAACAAACAAAAAAAAGATGCCTTAGAAACAATACAAAGGCATCAAAATGGCAAGCAAAAGCCCACAAGTGCAGCCACATAACATAATCTGTTGAGCTTAAGAACCATTACACAGAAACTCAAAAACAAAAAAGAAAAAGAAAGTGAAAAAAATCGACGTATATCAGCAGCAGAACGGCCTAAAATCTGCAAGGCCGAGTAAAAGATAAAAAGGGCCCTCCATTTTGCTCCCTTCAAACATGAGAAAGCAGGAAGAAGCATACAAGAAGAAGAAAATGAGCAAATCAATGATATTATACTAATAGAGAGACATACAGGCTTAGCCTTCTTCAGTGAAGCAGCATCAACACTGCTATTGGTCTCCTTTCCCGGCGGCACTCTCTCTCTTTCCCTGGCGAACTCTCTGCACACAGGAGCAGCAGCATACAAAGAATGAACAACTTTGCTACCATTAAAGAAACAAAAAAAAACTTTTTTATTGCTTTCTAAAATAACTAAAAAGCAGTATGAAAGCCGTCCCAAACGAAGCCTTCACAATAACATATGTCCTCACAATGATGAACAGTGAGAATAGCACTTACTACATGATACAGTGTAGTAAACATTATCCATCCAAGGAGTTGTTTCATACAATATGATATTAGTATTTATCGATGTATATTTAAGGTTATAAAAAAAAAAATTGATAGAAACAACTAATTTTTTTTAAAAATGATTGAAATTTAGGATCTATTTGGGACAGTTTTTAGATTGTTTTATTTTTCATACAACAATTATAATTTTATTTGACTGTTGCTTTCAGGTTGTCTTGTCGTAATTTTTCAAATATTTCTATAGTGAAAATCTATTTTATGCAATCATAATAAAGAAGTTGTTTTCTCCGCATCAATTTTATAGAAAGCTGCAACCGTCCTAAACAAACCATTAAAGATAACACTCATGAATATTTCAAGATCTGATATAGAATAGGACAACCAATACTATTTAGAAATTTTAAGAGTTTAAAAAGATTGTCATCAGCAAGTGGACTCCCATGGCATGAAAATTTACTTCTAAGAATATGACAACAAGCAACATTTAAAATGATAATGAATATGACTATAAACAATATTTAAAATGATCATCATCAAGCCTTTATCCCACTACGTGGGATCAGCTACATGAATCCTTTCTCTCTATTGTGTCATGTTAAAAGTCAAATTTTCATTTAAATCTAATAAAAAAAAAAGATCATTTCTAATATTTTCCAATATTTAAAATGATATATCCAAAAAATATATTTTCTGGCAAATAGCATTAATCCAATCAATAAGATCTTTGATGGAAGAAGCTAAACAAAGGAACATGTTTTAAAAGTTGATTAACTTAGGACAAGTATAAAAAATATTAAATAAATATCATACAAAATTTCCAGTGAAGGTGATATTTACTAACACTATTGACGAATAATATGCTAGAGGATAAAGCAATATGTAAGTGTGATGGCTTGAAAGAAATTAAAATTAAAGTTCTATACCATCAAAACTATAAAGAAACAGTTCAATAAATTGCAAAGTAATATAAATATATGGCATCAACGAAATGCTGTTAAGAGAACATTACACGGCAGACACACCTTTCACCTTGTCTCTCCGCGCGATCCATTTCACGCTTTCTCCTCATCTCAGCTTTCCTAGCTTCGAACTCCTCTCGGTTCATAAATGGAGGTCCTTGATTCATGCCAAATCCATTCATCCCCAGCTCAGCAAGATCCCTAAAAATATTGATAATCATAAAGCTACTCTTCCAACTACAGCTTTCTTTTAATTTTTTACTAGAAAGCCGCTTTAAAAAGCAGTAATAAAGCCGTCCCAAATGAAGTCTAAGCCAGCACAAACAAAGGAGGAAACCAAATTAAAAGCAATGCATCCAACTAATACAGAAAAGTGCATATATTCAAACTTCAATTCATTTCCAATGAAATGAAGGCACACAAACTTCAGGCTAGTTTGGCACCATAGACTTTTTCCTTCCTGTTTTTTGGTTTATTTTTAGGAGGAAAGGTTTCGCTGAAACTTGTGTTTTTGGCAAAAATCCCTTGAAAAAAAGTACAAAAAAATCAACAGACTTATTTCCTTAAATCAGCAATATTTTTAATAAATCAACTCCATATTAACACAAGGTATTCTAACTAAAAAACACGAATCAATAAATAATAGCTTTTTTAAATACAAATAAAAAAATATTTGATGAAATTTTATTAAACAAGGTATAGCAAAAAATTGGCAAGAAACAAACTTTTAACTCAAATAATTAAATTAATACAAAGTATAAGCAATTAACAATATTATTGAAATTAATATATTTTTTATACTACAACAGCACCATCAAGCCTTTGTCCCACTACGTGGGGTCAACTACATGAATCTTTTTTCTCCGTTGTGTCCTGTTAAAAGTCAAAATCTCGTTTAAATCTAATAAAGAAAGATCATTTCTAATATTTTCTAACCAAGTCCTTTTAGGTCTAACTATACCTTTCTTAATATAAATCAAATCTAATACCTTTATTTTCCCAATCGGGTCATCGGGAGACCGCCGTTTTATGTGACCAAACCATCTAAGACAACTCTCTCTAATCTTAATGACAAAACAAAAAACTTGACTTTAAAATGCAGAAAAATAACTGTTCCTTTTTCTATTTATGCATCACACCAAAAGTGCTTCTTGTCTCAGTAAAATAGAAACAAATATCATTTGTGTTTCATTTTCTAAGAAACTAAAAAAAAGAGATACAACAACACAAAATCAAAATAAAACCAAAGAAATATAAGAGGAAATCAAACATGACCTTCAATATATTAATGTTTTCGCTTGAACTCAATGAGTTTTATCACATCCAAAAAAAAATTTTGTGAAGAACAGCATTGAAAATACCTCTGAGGAAAACCAGGCATCATGTAGCCTTGCGCGGCATATGGATCAGGTGGTAAGATTCCCCCAAAAGGAACATCAAAAGGACTAGGTGTATAACCCATGAATGGCATAGGAGCAGCTAAAGAAGGTATGAATCCATCAATTCCAATTGGCATCCCATTACCCCAATAAGGATTGTAAGCTGATGGACCCACAGGCATCCCAGCGAAGCTCTCCATCCCAAAATCTTGTTGAAAATTCCTCCATTGCATGTCAGAACCTAAACACAAATACGTTACAAAATATAACACAATTACAATAAACGAAAATATATAAAAACAAGATCTTGGATTATGAACTAACCAGTAGCAGCAATTCGAGTTTTCTTCTTCTTCTTCTTCTTTCCTGCGAGTTATAATAGGAAAATTAAAAACATGGACAATTACCAAAAAGATCAGAATGGAAGAAAATCACCCAACCCACCTAGATCGCCCAGAGGCAACTTTTCCTGAGCCTCTTCTGGAATTGGAGTTGCTTCTGCATATACTGCCTCTTTTACATTCGTTAAATCCGGTGCTGCTTCAGCTTGATCCATGGATTTCTCTGACTTCTTATCCAGAAAAAGTGGTGTAAAATTATCAGCCTTCGGTTCACTTGCACCCTCACCTTCCTTGATATATGCAGTATTGTCTGCTGGAGGAGGCCGCTTGGGTTCGCCCTTCGAGGTACTAGAAAGAGTAGGTGATGGAACTCTGGATTGTACAGGGCGAGCAGATTCCATATCTAAAGAGCGAAAGAATTAACCTAATGGAAATTCAAAAGCAGCCAAGTTAAATAGAAAGTAAGTATATGCATCGATTACCTTGCACCTGTACCAAGCTTCCAGCATTCTCTGTGCTGCTTGTAGTTGTCTCCAATATACGGCTGATAGTCTCTCTTAGTGTTTTATTTGGAAGGAGGTCATCAGCTAATATATTTGTTGCCCCGCAGACGCACTTTGAGTTGCTTATTATGTAGTCACGGATACCTGAGTGAAGATATCAGAGCAGTTTACAATTGAAAATTTCAAAACCATAATCTTGTAGTGTCAAAAGCAAAAAAGATAAAATGGATAGAGGTCAGCATGTTTCATAATACCAATTTTACTCATAAGCTGAACATGTTTCTTAATTGCATATTAGAATCGAGATAAAAATGTCAACAAAAGGCTACATGGAAATGAAAAAAAAAAAAAACACAGATTTAGGCTTCGTTTGGGATGGCTTTCTTTCTGCTTCTAATGCAAAATTTCTAATATCAAAATTTTTAATTTCTGTACTAGAAAGCTGCTTTAAGAAACATAAAGAAAATTATTCGAAACAAAGCCTAATTTTTTTCTTAAATATGAAGTAAACAACCAAAATAGAAATTAAAATCAGTTGAAGGGTGCTATTTCAAATTCATTCCACAGCCAGAAATATCTACACAAGTTGCAGAGGGCAAAAGCTCTTTGTCTAGTGTAAAAAAGATGAGCACAATCCCAGAAGTTCAATTCTTACACTTATCACAGAAACTCTTGAAACAACATCTGCTGGTTAATACAGCATCCTTCATTACTTCCTTACACAATGGGCAGCGCAATTCAGGTGGAAGATCAGTAATAGATCGAGTAGAAGGTAACCCCTCAATTTCTTTCTCAAATGCAGCTCTATAATAGAAAACAAAATAATAATAATAAAATGGCTGATGAGATCTCTAATAGAAAATATTAATAGTTGCGCAAATGTAGCTCACTCATTTGGCTTCAAGACAGCAACTGCGCCGCTTGGCAGTGCATAAGACCCATCTGGAGTTGCCATTAACATAGATCTTGGAATCCCAGTAGGCGGCTTCACCCTTTTAATGTCATAATTAGGGTCACCATTTGTGGGGCAATGCTGGATAAAATGACCTGAACAAAAAACCAAAATACATATATAAAACTTCAGTCGATATTAAAGGGAAAGCTAAAAAGAAAATCCTCGCATAAGAATACCAGGAACTTTGCATCTATGGCAGATGTAACCAGGAGGAGGCGTCTTCTTCTCCATGATGCCTCGAGCTTCATTTGTTTAAACCACAGAGGATCAGTCAAGAACATAAATTCAAAACTTCGATGACAGAAGTCAAAATACTTATATAAAAGTAACTGTCAACATGCCAAGCTGACTAGCCTTCGTTTTTAAACAATAAAATCTCAAAGCGCCTATTTATGCCAGCCAAAGGAAAGATATGCAAAGAAAAAACACCCACAAAATCAGGTAAAATTATCTCCATTGAGGAACTTGAAAACTTTGATAATGTTGATATCACAACCAACCTCATTCCCTTATCATTTCTCCCTCCAGCAAGACAACTAAAAAAACTACTTCAAAGTTCCAAGATGCATCTTACATAAATCTCTCGTAAGAAACCATGCCATAGTAAATAACTTTTATGGAACAAGAAAACCAAGGAAAGGCTAAGTTAATTACAAAGCTGAGCAAATAACTAATATGGAGACAAATGAGACAGTATGGGAGAGTCTAATTGTGCATGTGAAACTAGCTACATCTCACAAGATCCAACATTGATGTACAAAGAACAAAAATTACAGCTAGAGGGAATTACAATGCCAAGTAAGTAGATGAAAAGCTTCACATAAAATGGGTCAGAGGGAAGGTAGCAGGCAAGCTTTTCAGTTTTTCTCTAAAGCCCAACATTTGCCTTGAGAAAGTGAAAGGTTAAAAGTGATAAAAATCAATAGAATCAGTATGTAGTTTGATGTGGAGATTGATGAACAAAGAGCTTCAGAAATTGCCCAATTTTATTTAGTCCTCTTCATTATTTGGGGGAAAAATGAGATGGCAAAATAAAAGAAAGTGGCTGTTTGGCAACAGGATTTATGTCCGATTTGAGCAGAATTTACGCTAAATCCTGCCAAATAGGATTTATGGCGCCGTTGGAAGTTACGGCAGAATAAATCCTCCGTCTCATCATTTTCTAGATAAATCTCAGATTTACTAAATCTAGCAGTTCGGCAGACTTAAGATTACAGGGGGTGGGAGAGGGGGAGAGCGGACAACGGAACCTGGCTTCCAACATCAAGTTACAAATAACCGCCTTAAATCCAATTACATTGTCGAACAACTCCAGAGAATTTAACAGGATTTAACCCTTACATAACCAAACAGTTTTCAGGATTTAGCTTTAGCTGGACTTACTAAATCCGGATTTACAGGATTTAGTAAATCCTATTCAAGTTAAATCCTACTTGTGGCCAAACAAACCCAAATAATGAAATGTGAACTTCTTCCATTGGTTTCAAATCCATACACCAAATCTTTTTATTCATGTACTTTTCTCTCCCTCCATCCATGATAATTCATGCTTAAATTTTCAGCATTTCTCTCATGGTATACGGAAGGAAATACTAAATATTTTCTTTTTCGAATTTCATGCAAAGTGAAGTACTAGTAAAGAAGCAACATGAAATAACCTCCACTCCTAAAAAATATTTGAAAAGTATAAATAAAGCAGATGGAGAGGAGGATCAAACATAAATGAAGTTTATGCTTCAAGCTTAAAAAAAGCTTGAAAATGAAGTAATATAGTTACAAATGTTCCAAATTAGCACATTTTCCTGATAAATGTGCCTTCCAAAAGACAATAACAAGTCATTTAAGAATAAGGCTTCAAGAAGTAATTGCAGAACACACAGAGCTTAACCAAAATTCTCTTCTAATATATTCCTTTAAGCCTAAATAGAGCACCAAGCACCTAAACAGTAATGTTGAGCCATTTCTACAAAAATAAACAAAAAATTTTGCTAGAGGGTTCGTCATGAACTAATAACTAACATTTAGAATAAAAAAGGAGTAAATATAAGATCAATTAAATACCAAAACCACGGCCAGCCATCATCCTTCCACCCATTCCCCTACCAAATCCTCTGCCAGCACCATATGAATCATGCCCTTGGCTGTAAAAGTCATTTGACACTATAAGATCACAGCATATTTCATGAAGAGCTAGCATATACACAAAACAAAAGGATAAAATTAAACTTCATATTCTATAGAGCATCACCGTGGCGCAATAAACCAGGCAACTGCAAAATCAGGAGAATTAAATAAGAGATATCTCACCGATTCCAATCAAGTGCAGGTGTATCAACTAAAGCTTTAATCTTGCTCTCTTCATCAACTTTGTTCACAGGAGAAACATCAACAATTGGAGCATTTGACTGAGCAGGATGAGCTTCAGGAACACTATACAAGTCATTCCCAAACTCATCCCATTCAGATTCATCGGGCTGCAAAATTGCAACCATAATATATGTTACTTTCATTTTGATTTTAAACTAACACTGCGTGTGTTGTTTACCAGTTAACCAATCATTTCTGGTAAGGGTTTCATGAGGAATGTATAATTAAATTGTACTTGAAGATACAGGCATCTAAAATAACTAAGGCTAGTTCAAAATGATGGGCTTACATATTTCATTGTGGATGAATTGCCAGCCATGATGCTACTAGATGGTGGAATATCTTCTATTTTATCCTCTACAATTTTGGGCCTGCAGGTATACAGTTTAAAATCTGGTCACCAGAATGTTCTTTTCCTTGAATGTTGCCTAATGCTAATACTATCCAGGTTTACTTAAAGCAAAGCTCAGACCATTTAACAAGGTACACACCCTCGGTCTTAATAATTTGATTAGCCATTAAAAGAGTTAAAAAATATAAACTAATAAAAAACTGAGACTTGGGGTGCAAGACAGTACTCGTCTCTCTCGGTAACAATAGGGTTTCGAGGGCGCCCTGGTACACGGCGTATAAGTACCGATGTATTTTTAGGAATCATTGCTGCTTCATCTACATATTCTGAAAACGAAAGCGGAGGTCATAACATCCATAAAAAGTCCAATGAGAAAATAATGAAACCCATTCCCAGCTAAAATAAACATGACCAGAAAACATCAAATTACCATGACATATAAAAGCTTCCAAATTCCACAACCACACAACTAATCTGAAGTAAGTATACTATTTTCAGGTAGAAAATTTATCATATCATCATGTATAATTTGCCTAATCACGCCTCACTAAATTAATTATCCCCCCATATTGAATGTTTGAAAGAATGTATAAAATCCGCCAATGATTTTAAAAAAACCAACCTTCATTAGTCTGAGCATTTGAAACCATCAGATCAAAATCAGTACCCCTTCCCAAATGCTTAGATTCAAAAATTCTTTCTTTCAGATTTGCAACAGATATGAATTGTCCCTCAATGGGAATAGAATCATAATCTTTTGCACTTTTAAACTTGTAGTACACAGCCATATTCTTTTCAAGGAGGTTTCCCCTTGTATAAGAGCCAATTGATCTACCAAACAGGACAAAATTGCCTGAAAATTATTGTAAACCAAGCAAAAGGCCCAAAAAATAAAAAAAGGCCTAATATTGCGGAAGAACAATAAAAACAAAGACTCCAGTACAATATAATGTGATCTCCTTCTATGCTTTGGCTGTAGGCCACTAGCTATTCTTCGAATATCACAGCCAGAAAACACGAGGCTGGTAGTAGCTTCTTAATCAATCCCTTTCTCTAGAATAACTGAACTGAAGACAGAAACAAGGCAACCAGCAACAAAATCCACAAATCATGACAGCTTCGGGGAAGATAACCACAGCAACCGCCAGGAAGGGACCAGGTACCAAAAACCCCTCAGATTGAAGGTATATCTCCTTTGCAGACCGATCGAAAACGTTCGCAGCGTCAAAACACCCAGCACCTCCACGATGGGAAAACCCTGGTGCACCGATTCAACTGATCGCAGGATCTCTGGCACCGGGGGCTTCAAGAGTCCGCCATATGTGACAAATCAATATCCGAGCGAGTGCAACTCAGTCACTTCCGATTAAGATCCCCAAATTGACCACCGATAGATCAACCGGCACGGCACCGGAAGAAGAGCTGAAGAACCGAATCCACGAATTCCGCGTTGATGGCGAGACGACGAAGGGCTGTTTTGAGGAGAGAGAGATAGAGATAGGGTTAGGGGCTGTTTGGTATCGGATTTACATCGGGAATTAAGTCGGATTTACGCTAAATCCAGCCAAACCGTTTTTGTGCGCGCGTTAAATCCCGGCGATGGGTAAATCCCGGATTTAAGATTTACAACTTAAATCCCGGATTTACTAAATCCCTCAGTTCGGCGGATTTATGGGATTTGGCCGAAGAAGCGCGCGAAAGGGAGAAAATTACCTTCACAGCCAGCGAGCTCCGGTTGTTGCTTCCGATCAAAATGTCGTAAGTTCCGATCCGACGGGAAGGGAAAGTCGTCGAAGTAGCGAAGTCAGACAGCCACGAAGGAGCCGAAGAAGCGACGCGTGCAATCTCTACACCTCCTGCGAAGCACGAAGGCGAACAGCAACGACGAATGGAGAAGATGTAAGACAAGCCCTAGACGCCTCTAACTTATTGCCGATGAGCCCTTAGGGCTTTCTAGATAACCTTACGCTTCTGGATAAAAGCGAGAAGGTAAATGAGAACGAGTCGCAACCGGAGGAAAGCGCATAAGTGCGGTAATATGCCTCGGAGCTCCTTTTTGTAGCCCACCACATTTCACCGACTCCGTGTGGGGCTAGGTTACTTCATTTCATAAAAAATTTATATATTTTTTAATATAATTTAGCGGTGAGTTTCTTGTAAAAAAATAAGAAGAAAGAATTTTCACTGAACGCTCTGCTAGGGCTTCCTTTGGCGCCTCCTCCTTCCTGCGCTTCCTTCACCGCTCGCTGGGGAGGGCTTCTCCCTCCCCAATCTCCTCTGCATGGCTTCGACCTCCTACTCCACTGACTTTCCTCCACTCCTGGTTCCGGAGGACATGTTTTCTCTGCTCCTCTGGGTCTTAACTTCCTCTCCAATCTTACCAACAAAGATCCTATTGCTTCGGAGTTTTCTTTTTCTTTTGTTCCTCCTGCCACAAAGATCCCCTTTTCTGCTGGTGAGCTTCAGCTTGGGACGACATATTGGAGTCTATCGCTAGTTGGTTACTCTGTCGGTCCAAGGCCAACATATTTAAGCTTGTAGAATGTTGTTCAGAAAGCATGGAATCCCAAAGGTGTGATCGACTTGCTTTCTTTAAACGATGGTTTTTTTCTCTTCAAATTCTCGGCGCAGGAATATTATGACTCCGCCTGGACTGGCGGACCCTGGTTTTTTTTTCGGGAGACCTTTTATTTTGCAGCAATGGAATCCAAAGTTCATCCCTAAGCGCGATGAGTTCACCTCCATACCCATTTGGGTAAAGATTATAGACCTTCCACTGGCTGTTTGGAATCCTCAGGGCATTTCCAAAATTGCTAGTTTCATTGGTCATCCTTTAGCAGTCGATGCTTTAACTGCTCGAAAAACCCGTCTAACCTTTGCTAGGTTCTGCGTCTTGGTGACAAGCAAATCTACTTTTCCCGACGAAATACCTATCTCTTTAGACGGTGATGATGTCAATCTCAAAGTCATCTATGACTGGAAACCTAAGCCCTGTTCTGGATGTGGTTCACTTGTTCACCCCCCTAATCTCTGTCCCAAAAATCCTCAACCGAAAACGCTGATCCCTTTCCAATCCGGAGCCAGAAGCAAAAGCAGGCCCAGAGGTAGGCCTCCACTCCCTCCCTCCTCTTCTCCTGCTATCCTTCCCAGTCCTTTGTCTACCACTCCTACTCTCCCTCAAAATGCTGTCGGTCCCCCTCCTAAAGCCACTTCTGAGCCAGAGGAAGATAAGCCGCAAAGCAACCCTCCCTAACCTGACCCAATACCAAATTTAAACCTTCCCTCCTTTGTTGCCCCTGAAGATCCTTCCTCTTCTCTTACTAAGGGTCATCCTTCCCTCTTGATCTCTAATGATCAAGGTGATGAGGAATTCGTCTCTATCCCGACCTCTCCAAAAAATAATCGCAAAACGACCCCCTCTCCGTGGATCAAGCCCACTGGGAATCTCTCTACCTCACCAAATAAATTTGATCCCCTCCTGTTAGATGACTTAACTGAATCTACTGAAGACTCAGAACAAACTTCTAGCAACATTATTCCACTTTCAGATGAACCTCCTGATCCTAAACTGCTCAGCAAAAAGCAACAAGTCAAAAACCCCAAGACCAAAAGCGCTAAGAAGGCGCAAAAACCACTAAGTCAAAATGAACCTCCCTGCCATTGGTTGCTGGAATGTCCGTGGTTTCAACAGCCCTGAAAAAGTCACTGCTTGCAAAAAATTAATTTCCTCTCACCATCTCTATTTCCTCTGCATTCTGGAAGCAAAAATTCAACATCATCTTCTCTTTGATGACTGGTTCTGCAATTCTCACTAGGTTTTTAATCTGGAAGCTAGCTGCAATAATTTTGACAATTCTGGTACGGGTCGTATTTGGCTGAAATGGAACCCTGCCGTTGTCACTTTTCAAATGTCTCAACACTCCACTTAGCTCATCCATGGTATCGTGTCTACCCCTCAGTCTGCTTCTTTTGCGTTAACTACGGTTTATGCTGCCAACTCTTTGGCATATAGGATTTCTCTTTAGAAAGATCTGGCTCAAATTGCGGAGGGGTTGGATTGCCCTTGGGTCATTATGGGTGATTTTAATTGTTTTAAATATTTGAAAGAAAAACAAGGTGGTGTCATCCCTCACCACAGCCAAATGAATGAATTAAATTCCTGGTTATTTGATTCTGAAACTTTTGAACTTTCATCTGCTGGTTTGAATTTCACCTGGTTTAACCAAAGAGTTGATGACCCTATCCACATCAAGTTGGATAGGATGATTGTTAACTATGATTGGCTTGATAAATTCCCTATTTCCTATTATAAAGTCGAACCTCCTGGTTGCTCTGACCACTCTCCCCTTATTCTCTGCTCAGGTAACCTGGATAAGCCTGCTGGAAGATTCTTATTTAAGAACTACTTGATCCATATGGAGGGGTATTGGGATTGTGTTTTATCTGCTTTCTCTACCCACACTTCTGCTAGTCCTATTGCCAATCTCTATCTGAAGCTAAATACTTTGAAGAAATGTTTAAAGAAAAGAAATTGGTCTTCTGCCAATTTCTTACAGGATAAGGTTATGTTGTTGGAGCACAATCAAAGTAGATGTCTAGGGGTTTTGCAAAGGGATCCTCTTAATCCTGAACTTAATGCTACTCTTAAAGAAATCAACTCCTCTCTGGGTTTTTTTCAGAAGGCTTAGACCAATTGGATAATGTAAAGGGGGAAAGCCAAGTGGCTATCTAATGGTGAGGATGACTTGGGTTTTTTATATGCAAGGATTAAAGCGATAGGAAACTCAAACTGTATCAAAGTTATTTCTACTTCTGAAGGGGTGTTTTCCTCTCCCACTGATATTGCCCATGCTACTGTTACCCATTTTAAAGGGATTTTTAATGCCACTCCTCCCCTTTAGAATGTTGAGATCACCTTTCCTAAAGGCTCTGTTATTCCACAAGACCAACAATCCATTCTTATTAACCAGGTGACAAATCAGGAGATCAAATATATTATTTTTGCGGGCTCCAAAGCCTCTTCCCCTGGGCCCGATGGTTATACTTATGAATTTTATAAATCTTCTTGGAGCATCACGGGGCACTATGTCTGTCAAGCTGTTAAATTTTTTTTTGAAACTGGGTCTCTCCCTAACTCTGTTAAAGCCACGACAATTGTTCTTATTCCCAAGACACCCCACGCCTCTCATATCAATGAGTTTAGACCCATCTCCCTCTGCAATACCTTTTACAAAATCATTGCTAAAATTTTGGCGAATAGGATGAAACCTTTTATGCCCAATATCATTCATAACAGCCAGTCTGGGTTCATTAAGAATCGGTTAGCCACTGATAACATTATTTTAGCAATGGAAATTTTGAGAGATTTCAAGAATATCTCTGGGAAAGATTACTTCTGTGCTAAGTTGGATATCATAAAAGCTTTTGATTGCATTTCTAGAGATTTTATCATTTCTAGAATGCACGAGAAAGGCTTTCCTCCAAAGTTTATTTCGTGGATCAAAGGTTGTATTTATGATGTGTCTTTTTCTGTTTGCATTAACAGTGCTTTACAAGGTTATTTCAAATCCACTTCGGGTTTAAGACAGGGGTGCCCCCTCTCCCCCTTTCTGTTTGCCATTGCTATGGATGCTTTCTCATGTTATCTGGATGGTAATAATTTCGGTGGTTTTCCTTGTGGTAACACCTATTTTAATCACCTATTATACGCCGATGATGTGCTGTCTTTTGGGCCAGCCACGGTTCATAATGCTCAAGTCTTGAATCAAACCCTCTCCGACTTTGCTGATTCCTCGGGCCTTCAAATTATCAGAGATAAATCCTCTATTATATTTTCTAGGGTAACCCAGTCCACTTCTGAAATTGTAAACCTTCTACATTTCTCCCAAGCTGTTCATGCTTTCAAATACCATGGGTTACCTGTCTCCACTAAAAAGCTTTCTATTTCTCACTTCTAACCACTACTGGGTAAAATTAGTACTCTACTTGCTGGTTGGAAAGTTAAATTTCTGTCTTTTGCAGGTAGGATTCAATACTTGAAATTTACTATTGCCAACACGATTGCGTATTGGATTCGAGGAGCTATAATACCTAAAGCTGGTTGTAAAATCATTGATAGAATGTGTGCTAGATTCTTATACCATGGATCCATTACTGAGAAGAAACTTCACCTGATCTCTTAGAGAAAAACCTCCTTGCCTTACTGCTTGGGGGGTCTTGGCATTCCTGACATTAAATCCATGTATTTTGGGTTTGCTAGCACTTTCATGTGGAGATTCTACTATTTTAACACTCCTCTTAATAGCTGGTACAAGTTGAAATTTGAATATCTTTTTAAACCTATTAACTCTAAAGCCTCTCACTACTGGAAACTTATATGCTCTACTGCCCATACGATTAAGAATTCTCTGGATTTCCATGTTACCGATATGGACTGCTTCCTGTCTCTCCTCTGGAATCCTTGGGTGAAAGGGCACTCTTTGGCTGATCTTAACCTGCACTGTTTACCGAATAACAGGGTGGTTAGCAATTTGATTGCTAATGGCACCTGGGATTTGAGAAATGCTCCTGTTCAGTTGCAACAGGTTTTAAAGGCTATTCCTATACAGGTGGGAGGCAATGTGATTTCCTGGACTGGGAAAGGGGTTCCTAGTTTCAATACATTCAAAAGGAAGTTTTTTGAGGACATTTTTAAAGTTCCATGGTATAAATATATCTGGCATAAACATTTTTCCATTCGTTACTCTTCTTACACTTGGTTAGCTATCAATGAGGGGCTTAAAACAGCGGATGTTTTAGCTGCTAGAAGGATTCATATTAACTCTATATGTTACTTTTGTCAAATTGAAGATGAATCCATCTCTCATCTGTTTTTTCAATGCCCGTTCTCTTTCTGTGTCTTACAATCCTTGATTCCTGAAGTGAGAAGTTTCCTTTTAAGGCCTAATATCATGCAACTGTTTGAATATTTTGAGGATTATCATGGTTTTGAAGGTGCTGAGCGCAATTTCTGCTACCTCTCTATTTGCTGTATGGTTTATTTTCTGTGGAGAGAGAAGAATGATAGGAGATATGGTGGCATTCATTGCACTGTTTTTGCCCTCAGCCATAAAATTTCCATGGCCATTTCTGCAAAAGTTTCCAAATGGAAACATTTTGATAGCTTACATATCTCATTTCCAAACTATTTTTCTAGGAGATTTTACCATCAGGCAGAGAATTTTTGATGTCCCAAGGCAATGATGATTTGGTACACTTCCCTGGATGGCCTTCGTTTGTCTCAGATGCTGCTTCTTCCCTTCTAGCTGTTGATCATGGGTCTGTCTGGTACTTCGTCGGCAACCGGGAAGACTTTTCGGGTTGGCTTTGGTGTTGAACATTATGTTCAGCTGGTTTTTTAGATTTCCTGTACCAATTTTCTGATTCTGAGCCTTCTAGGGACATTTTGTTTCTTTGCCTTTGGTTGTTCTGTTACTTTTTCATTGTATTCAAGATGCTTTGTAGCTAGTTTTCCTTCTTGTGATCATTTGGCTTAATATACGGGCTAAGCCCCAAAATATCCCAAAAAAAAAAAGTTTCTTGTAAATTAATATAAAATTTTAAATATTATATATATAATGATATGTGCAAATAATTTAAAATTTAATTGCATTAATTTTGAACTTTTAGATATTTATATATCATCAAAAAATTATCTTAATAGGGCATGAATCTCGATGCAAAATCAAGTTAGTAACTTCCAAAATAAAATTCGCGGCCATCTAAACTCCGATTTCAGCAAGCTTACAGTCGAACTGAATGTTTCGAAAATACGAACCCAACGACGCCAAATTCAACCCAATACGGCTCAAATAGGTCCAAATCAAAAACCTGAAGCTCGTTTGGAAGGTTAAAATCATAATTCAGATTACCAAACGTGACATGCTTATATTCGAATTGAATGGCTCGATGAGACAAATCAAACAAGCCCAATATGGTCAAATTCTGATATCATTAAGACATTTAAATGCTCAATAAATGCCCCCACAATCAAGGGATTCAACATCGGTAGTCCATTCAAACCACTCATAATTTACCCTTAATATTCCTCATATTTGCTGGTCATGCCACTATCATAAAACTATAAATATACCTCATTTATCATGGAAGGGGGGACTAAAACAAGAAGAGAAGGAAGAGAGTTCTCTTGCCACCAAAGTCCTCCTCGACCACCGTCGAACTTCAACCCAGCCACTAACTAACGCCGGATTTCTACCCGCCACCGACTAATGCTAGATTTCTGCCTGGCCATTGACTGACACCGAATTTCTCCCAGCCACTAACTAACATTGAATTTTTGCCTGGCCACCGTTTGACGTCGGATTTTTGTCCGGTCACCGACTAACGTCAAATATCTGTCCGGTCATCTACTGACATCGAACTTCTGTCCGGCCACTAACTGACACTAGACTTACACTCGGCCACCGACTTACTTTGGACTTCTGTCGACTACGATCTTTTCAACCTCTATCACCTGCCGACTATAGTCCTTTCAACCTCCAGCTTCTGACATTGGTCTTTCCGACTTCCTTCACTAAACAACAATCCTTCCAAGCATCATCACCCGAATACGGCCCTTTAGACCTCCGTAGCTAGTCGACTATGTTCCTGCCGACCAAACGAACATATCAATCCTGATTCATCCAATTTCCACCATGTAATGCATAATGCATAATGTATGATCTATATTTTTTACTTCAAGCCAATGTTTCCCTTCAATGAAGGGCCTCATTTGTAATCAACTACAAACACTAGTGAATTTATTCAAACTGGGCTAAACCCCGTGATTTTTTCTTTTTTTAGGATTTTTCATGTAAAGATAATAGTGTCTCTTATGAACGCTACTCCCTCTCTTTTATATGATTGTGTGCTAGATCTTCGTACAAAATTAAGACATTAAACTTTATATTTCTCTATTGCTACAAATGTTACATGATTCAACAAATATATATTAAGATTAGTGTAATATGTAGATGATTAATATTACATAAATTTTATATTATTTTTAAGAGCACTAAGTTATAATTAGGCTTCATTTGGGATGACTTTTTTACAATTTTTTTAAAGCTACTTTTTTATATAAAATTTTAAAATTTAATATTATAAAGTTGTCTTAGAAGCAGTATAATCTATTTTTATACTAATTATACTGTCAAAAGTTTTATTCATTTCTAACACATACCACAATAGTGGCATCAATTTACTAGCAATAATTGAAAAATATTTAAATTTTAATATGATTTTTGTTATATATAAATTTTATTTGATTGAGCTTTAAAATTATTAATTCTTTTTAAATTAGTGCAACATAAATCTTCATATACAATACTAATATATCACCATAAAGTTCACTTGATCAAACAGGAATTCCAATACATTGATAAATATGAAACTTTTATTAATAACTATAGTGCATTTATCAACTAGGGCTTTTTCTTCTCGACCTTCTTCTCTACATAATACGAAACTACGTTGCACGGGATGGCTACATTCGAATAACAAAATTCTATTAGTGTTAAAATTTTGGCGATGTTGGTTGCGGGAAAATAGCTTAGGCTAATATCAACTTGGAGTTGTTGTTTGGGAGTTGTGGGAAATTATTGGGTTCGGACATCAGACACAACTTACCGTTCGGGGACTAATCAGGTGCAACCACGTTATCCAGTGCTGAGTAATACTGAGCTCGGTATTGTGAAGTATTGAGTTATGTACTGAGCAGTACCGAGCTCAATACTGCTTGGTACTGAGTAGGGGGTGATGTCGCTTTTTCATTGGGCTCTGGACAACGTCCAGTGTCCGAACCCAATAATTTCCCGAGCCTGATTTGAAGATTGGTTGGTTGGATATATATTGGTTTAGTTGTGCCAATTATTAGCTTAGTTTATTTAGGTTTATCAAAAATTGTATTTTCTAGTTGAAGACTGTTGTTTTAGTCTGATTATGTTGGTGGTTAGATTTAGTATTTTCTTTTACTAGATTAAATTCCTTGTCTTTTTTCTTTGACAAGCTATGTAAGTTTTTCTTGGTTTTCTTAAATCACCTTAATGAAAATTGTGCATGATTGCCCCTAAAACCCCCCTCGATCCTTTTGGTGATCCTTTCTTCTATTTTTGTGAGTTGTTGTAGGTGACAAAGTCATGATTCTTTATGGTTATTGAAGTCTCTCTAATTTGATTTTCGGCCATTTGTAGTACATTTTTTTGTTAAGTTCTCTATATATGTCTATGCTCGTCACACCTTAGATGGTATGATATTCAAATTATTTATGGGTAACATCATAACATTACTAACACGTGTAAGAGAGTGGTTTGTTGGTTGAGAGCTTTGACTACCAACAAAGGATTAATTATTCTGTAGATGCCGAACACCATCCAGAGACCAACCAAAATACGTCACGTAACCCCTTGCTCAGTACTGCGGCTCGGTACTGCGGATATGGTGCATTCTGGTTGGTCTCTGGATAGCATTTTATATTATGCGTCCGGTCTCCACACATAATAATTTCTTCAAAGTTTATCTTGATTGGCCTTAAAAATTATATTTAAAAAAAAAAAAAAAAAATCTTGACAATCTATGTAAATTTTTTTTGGTTTTCTTACATTTCTTGTATATTTTTTTCATTTTCCACCTTAATGTAAATTGTGCATGATTGCCCCTAAAACCCCCTCGGTCCTTTTGGTGATTCTTTCTTCTATTTTTGTGAGTTGTTTGTAGATGACAAAGTCATGTTTCTTTATGGTTATTGAGGTCTCTCTAATTTGCTTTTCGGCCATTAATACATTTTTTTTGTTAGTTCTCTATACATGTCTATGCTCGTCACACCTTAGAAGGTATGATATTCAAATTATTTATGGGTAACATCATAATATTACTAACACATGTAAGAGAGTGGTTTGTTGGTTGAGAGCTGTGCAGATGTCGAACACCGTCCGGAGACCAACCAAAATGCATCACGTAACCCCTTGCTCAGTACTGTGGCTCGGTACTGCTGATATGATGCATTTTGGTTGATCGCCGAATATCATTTTGTATTATGCGTCCGGTCTCCACCCAGAATAATTTCTTCAAAGTTTATCTTGATTGGCCTTAAAAATTATATTTAAAAAAAAAAAAAGCTCTGTTAACGAATGGACTAACTTTAAAGACCTACGGTTGCTTATGCGGTTATGCTGGCCTAAAGGCTTTCAGAGCGAGCTCAGTTATGCTTTCATGGCTTCGAACCCTAATCATCGGACGGAAGAATCTGATAATTCTTCCTCTTTGGAGGACCTGTATAGCATAAACGTTGTGCCTTCAGAACTGTTCTTCAAGTTCCGGAAAGAGATCCAGGGCTTTCGTCTTGGTCTCAACCTCGAGGTATCGGCCCCTCTCATATTTTCTATGCATTCAATTCGTTTTTAATTGAAACCAAGGCGGAATTCTGATCAAGATTTTTTTCGTGAACTTTGTTCTTCATTTATTACCAAGCCTTTGAAAAAAAAATGAAGGTAGGATTATCAGCTGTATAATGCGCATCTCAAGAGCGAGGGGATATAAGCGAAAGAAAACCATCCCGAAATAGTCGATTTATGATTTTCATTCTGTCCTAAATGAGAGATATAGCTTTTATTTTTGGCATTAGCTAGAAACAAACACTTCAGCAGGGCTTTCAGAAAGAAAAAATCACCCTAGTTAACTTCAAAAAACACCAGATCAAGTGTCTTATACAGAGTATGAAGGACATTTGAGGTTGCTAATGTCTAATCCTTGTTCTAATCCGTTGTTTACCTGCAAAAGCCATGGCCATTTCAAGTACACTTTTGCTAGCATGCTAAATTGGATGTGGTGCAGAAATCTGGGATAGGATGCCCCAAGTTTATTTACTTATTCAGTTGTTTTATTAGGGGATTTAGCCATCAAATTGGAGTGCAAACTTCAATCCAAATGAGCTTCATACTTTAGGCTTCCCACTCTCAAGTTTTCTGTTACTGATAAAAGTGAAACCTGCAACACCTTTACCATGATCATTGTTAGTTCTTTATGAAATCTAATTGTGTCAATTAATTGGATTGTATTGTTGACCTAGATCTCAATTCCGTTGTCGAGCTTGATGAGGAGCTTATTGGGGGTTTGCAGGGGGCAGAGCCCCTGACTTGAGGGTTTGAGGGCGAAGGCATCTGAATTTTTTTTTTCATGTATGTATAGCTCCGCGGTGATGTGGATCCCCTATGGGATAAAGTGTTAAGCGTTGAGACTCTGTGAACTTAGTGCTGCAGTGCTATGGACAGAGAACTTAGCGTCGTGGCGCTGCGAGTTGGCTGAGTCAATTTCTTTTATGCATTTTTATATGGTTGTAAACTTAGAAGGGGTGTGTCTGTGTGCATGGAAGGGGGTGAAGACTGAGAGAAGGAGAGAGTAAGATTTGTACAATTTCTCTCACTTTTCATAATGAATTTCTTGGTTTGGTGTGACTCCATGATTTTTTTATCTTTTTCAGATTTTTCCACATTAAATTATGGTGTTCTTTCCCCGTTGTTTGTTTTCTTGTTTGTTTCATTCTTTATTTACTCCCAAGAATCGTGCCTATTCTTTTTCATGTCATATTAATGAGACATATTGATTTAGATATTGTTTGTATGTCAGTTTACTTTTGGTGATCATAACCTAGTTTTCTAGCCACCAGCTTATTGTCATGCCACACTTGCTATCAATTTGATTAAATAACTGTCCAAATCACTTCCTTCTAAGTGCTCTAATACTATTTACTTTGCGCCCTCGTATTATTTTGTATTACTAGTAATTTCCATGCATCATATATTATACCATTAACTCATATTTAATTTGTTAATTTTTCAATTTCAGTTCTTTAATTTTGAGGTCAATGAATTTGAAACGAAGCTTGTTTTGAAGCCTCTTGCACACGATCGTAGGTGGAAATTCATTTTTGAACCTATACATGGGGACATACGTTTACTATCCAAAAAGATTCCCGTAGCAAAGTACCTCAACCTACAGGTCAATCACAGTAATTTTTTTTTTACTTTAAGTAGTATTTTCTTGATGCTACTATTGAGTTAAAATGTAATGGGAACATAAATTTCTTAAGAATCTATGATTTGTATAATCAATATTCCAAATTCCCCACATTACCTTCGTAATTAATTTTCTTAACACCTTTTTTCAAATGTCCCAAATATCATGATTTTGTAATTTGGTCTAAATAGTTTATAACTTAGTATACTTCAATATTTTTCTTAATTGATTCTCTTATTAGCTGTTTGGTTTTATTATCTTGTTTTATTTATCAGTACTACCATATTTAGAATTTAAATGTTTCTTACACCATGTCAATTATGTTGGGAATTAGCTTAAGAAGTTTGTTGTGCTCCTATTAAGTTTTGGTATTAGCAACTCCTAGAAATGGTATTGACATTTGAAAGAGCATTGCTGTTTTTCTTGAATTTTGCTCGTGTATTGTCCATTGTACCTTTTAAGTGTCAAGACCACAAAAAATGCAAAAGCAACGGAATGTTGTTATGATACACGATAGCTGAGACTTGTGCGTCTGCTTTTTGTTATTTAGTTTTGCAACTTCGGGTTGCTTGGATTTTAGCTATAAAATTATGTGCAACCAGAGTTATATTCAACAACAACAACATCAAGCCTTTGTCCCACTACCTGGGGTCGGCTACATAAATCTTTTTTTTTGCCAATGTGCCATGTTAAAAGTCAAATTCTCATTTAAATCTAATAAAGAAAGATCATTTCTAATATTTTCTAACCAAGTCTTTTTAGGTCTACCTCTACCTTTCTTAACATAAGTCAAATCTAATACCTCAACATTTCTAACAGGGTCATCAGAAGGCCTCAGTTTAATGTGACCAAACCATCTAAGATGACTCTCTTTAATCTTATCTTCCACTGAAGCTACTCCAACCTTTTCTGGCATATGCTCATTTCATATCCTATCTTTAAGGGTAAAGCCACTCATCCAACCAGAGTTATATTCTAATTAGAAAATATCGAACTGTTGCAAATGACAAAAATTTTTTTTTTCTCTAAATTTAAGAATTGATTTCATTAGTGGCAACAAGGCTTGACTAACAGGCTTCATTTGGTTCTGCTTTTCTCTGGCTTAAATTTTGGAAAACAATTGTCATATGGGAAACATTCTATCATCTTCATTTTGTATGTGCATCTTCTTTATGACGTCATGAGCTTATGAACTGACTTATTGAGCAACTCGTCTTCTTATATAGGGGTGTGAAAATTTTATTTAATGCATTACAGTTCACACACCGCATAGCAAACCTGTATCCAACGAAGCCCAAGTCTAAAGTACAATTATTACTTCCACAATTGACACAATAACTTATGTATGTATATAAAGCTAAGCCTCTGATGGACCGGTTCACCCGGTCCATCCTAGACCCGTGCGGGTCTATAGGAGGCGGGCGGACCGGCTGGACAAAAAAGGGGCCCACCCACTTAAGTGGGGGTAATTTGGGGATGTGAGGGACTTTTGGATTGTATGAAGGGGGCCATTAGGATTTTATTGGGGGCATTATGAAAAGTGTATTCTCTTTCTAGTTTTCTTCTTCTAGTTTCCTTCTTGTTCTTTTCTAGGGTTTTCTTGTGGGAGATCTTGTCCTTCTCGAAGTGGACAAACTTATCATGTTTTCTCTTGGATTTCTAATGCAAAGGTTCTTATTTCTCATCCCAACAATCTTGTGATTATTTCTCTTTGGTTTTGGTGGAGAACTTCCTCTCTTTTGGGGGAAATTAGGGCAAAACCGAAATTGTGAAACCCTAGGGCGTATCAGCCTCCATCTCCAAATTTTCGCACCATGAATATTGAATACCACACCATATTGTAGATTATTTCTCATTACAGTGGTCGTGTATAGATTCTTTAAAAAAAAAAAAAATGAAACAAAAAACAAGTCTTATCAAGAAGTATATGAACTTACATTTTTGGTGTTAAAAAAGCAAGTGGTTGTGCTTCAAAAAATTTACAAACTTTTTCATGATGCCATTTGAGTTAAATTCTCAGTTGCGTTTGGTTATATTACAGTAAAAAATCTTGAGATGATATATGAATCTTGAACTCTCATTGATCTCAAATCAAATGTGTATGAATCGCAAGGTAAATTCAAACAAATAATCTTACGCAGCTTGGTAATAGGCTAAGGGCTGACTTGGGCAAGGACAAATCTAATGATCTTACCTGAACCTTGGCCAAGTCACTTCATTCTTTGTACTTTTGCATGAAGGGTAGCAATGGAGCCATGGAGGGGCCCTTTTGGTTATTCCCTTATACACCAATAGTTGTCCATGAGGGCTTTATAGCCCATGAAACTCGGAAAGGTTTTCTCGCACCTGAAATTATTATGGAGCCTATGCACCATCTCACAACACATCATTGTTATCAAAGACTATATTTATAAAATGAGAAAGAACCTCTTTTTTTTTTTTCTTTTGGAGAGATGAAGTCCAATCTTTACGTATTTGAACAAGGAATATTTATCTTTTTTTTGGAATCTTCTCCTTAAATTTGTCAGAAAAAAAAAAACTCCACTTCAATAAGAACTGCAATTAACCCTCACATAGGGAGATACCTTACCAATAGGTTGGATTGATCAACTAACATTTTAGGAGGTTTATCTTTAAAATGCTTAGTACAATTTTTTATGACAAGGTGGATTTGGTCAAGATCATATATAATGTGTAAACATTAATCATTTTTTTAGGAGAAAGGGACCGAATTGATTCCCTAAATTTTTAGGATCAAAATAATCTCTGGATATAAAAGTACCAATTTGGTCCTTTGATTTTTTATTTATAGACCAAATTAGTCATGTTGTGGGATCATTTATGTCCTTATTTAAAAATTTAAGGAATGAAAATGAGACTTTTAAATAGTCAAGGATCATTTTGATCCTTCGTAAAGAGTCATGGAACCAATTTGGTCTTTATATGATTTTTTTTTTTGTGTTCCTAATAACTCATGACTGAATATATTTTTAGGTCAATTATTCTCATTAATTTTATTTCATACTCAGGGCAATTATGATGGGAATTTGGGGAGCTTCCAATTAGCAAAACATTCTTAAGACCTTAAATCATTAAAAATTACATTCTAACCTACAAGACTCCTCCTTAGTGATCTAAAAGACCTTTTTCCCGTTCTTGACCCTGACCTCATTATTAGTTTGACAAATAAGGTCTACTTTTTTATTTTATTTTATGACTTGAGAGCTATATGGCCTTTTGAGGAAAAATCATCAACATGGTTGTTGATCTTTAGTTCTTTGCTTATGTTACTAGCATTCAGGACACAAGTTGAAGCTTGTCTTGAAGTTATGATTGTTCCAATTTAATAAAATATTTTATATTAAATTAAATTATTTAAATATATTATGAATTGAACCTATCGGTTTTTAAAAATCGGGACCGGTTCAATGGTTAACCGGTTGAACCAGTGATTCAAATTGGTTTTCACCGGTTTGATGTTGGATCATTTTTTCATGATGATCAAACCGGCTATATGATTGGTTTACGATTGAACCGGTTGAATGGCCGGTCCAATTTAATTTTTAAAACCATGTTTTTACCTCTATGCTAGAAAGGGGTGGCGATTTAAAGGGTTCCTTTAGCTCCTTGATCACTATCATTTAAAGCTCTGCACATTATTAGGGAATGTTCCTTGAGGGACTTCTCACCCTCACAATCATTGTAGTTCATAGGTTGCACCACATGTCACGTTGTTTCTTTCTTAATCCTTGTGAAATAAGGAAGAGTCTCGCATTTTCTTCCAATGTGAGAAGTCTACTAGTTGGTTTTGAACCATGTAGTAGCATCCATTCTCAGAATTTTTCCTATCAATCCTAAGAATGAAGCTTCACCTTGTCACCATGCGGAATGTAGTGCTCATTCATATGAGAAACAACCTAATCACTGGCCACAGCGGAGACTCTTGCAGCCTCAAGCTTTCTCACTTGCCAATAGAGAGCTACCTTGTGTGAGGCATCTTTAATTCTTTATTGTGTGGGATGGATGAGTCGATAAATCTTGGTCTACGGTTGGATCTGTCTGTTTAGGTCCAAGATGTATTGTGTCTTTTCGACACCCAGTACAGTTTTGATAAAAATGCGGATATGATAGATCAACCGTTTTTTGGGTATTTATAAATTGCCCCTAATCAAGTCTATAAACATACCCTTTCAATTGTTTTTATTTATATTGTTTTGTATTTTGGGAGAGAGTTCTAGGAATTTGATGAGATCATCTAATTGTCAAAACCTTTCTTCCAGCTTTCCTAAAAAGAATTATTTTCATTCCCAAGATCAAGAAGTGCATAGGTTTTTTTACCCCACAACTAGTTATGCGAGAAAAAATCGGATTAAGAAGTTTTTTTTTATAAAAAATATTTTATATGTAAAAAGTTCGAATTGTAGGGTTCTAAAAAAGCAATATGTGATGCATAGAATTTTGTATTTAATGATTTTTATAATAGATTATATACTAAGAAGGGCAAAAGATGTATGCATAAGTTAGTTAAATAAAAAGATAAGAGAAGTAAATATTTAGTTATAGTGAAGTTATTAAGGATGAAGATCAAAAAGTTATTTTATTAGAAAATGATATTCCACAGGTGAGTGAGATATTTCCATAAATGCTTCAATGAACATTGTGCGAATATGATTGATTTTAGTAATCTTAGCACCCTAAATGAAAATAACATTTTTTGTTTTTATCTTCGTATTAGTAAAACCAAAGCTTGAGTGGCTTTAAGAAAATAAAATATGCAAAAATAGAAGGACATGATATTCCAATAGAAGCGTGAAAATGCTTTGGAGAGCAAGGAATTTTTTTGTTTACTAATTTTTTTAATATTATTTTAAAGACTAAAAAAGATGTCTGATGAATGGAGAATGAGTGTGCTGGCTCCTATTTTTATGAATAAAGGTGATGGAGATGTTTGTGATGCATTTTGGAAGTAAAAACAACAAGGT